ACAAAGAGAATTCGTTATCATCAACCTCATACAGAAGTACGCAACGTCGCACGACACTATTTTAGAGGTAAGCCATTGATTATACACAAGATCATGAAAAAGGAACTTTCCGTTTAGAAAAAGGACACACATCAGCAACGGCAATGGTAATATCATCAAAAGAAGATATTGAGGAGATACCCATAGAGCTGTCACTGCCACCGCCACCACCGCCAGCCTACGTTGCCCCTCCTCTAACCCCCACCTATGCAGTCCCACTTTCACCATCCTCATACGTGGCACCGGCACCAGTTCCCGTCCCAGCTCCTGTTCCAGCTCCTGCCCCAGTTCCTGCTCCAGTTCCTGTTCCAGTTCCTGCTCCGGTTTCTGTAGCAGTTCCCACCTCAGTTGCAGCTGTGGCTCCTGCTCCAGCCGTATTGGCTGGACCAGAGCTCCGTAACTTTGCAGGATCTTATCAAACAGGTGGTTACCGGTTTTTAGTTGGGTAAGTTAGAAATCAGTCGTTATTTTATAGCGAACGTGCTTGCTTCCTCCTCATCTCTTGGACATGGTCATCGTCACGTGTACCCGTTTGGAGATTTCGGAGGCCCCGATTTCCTCAACTTCGGCATTGAAGATTTACATATCCCAGCATTGAAAGCACGAGCGCGTAATCGAAAAATTATCGCTAAAAAATTAGCTCAAAAGCACCGGGCAGCACAGAAAAAGACACTTTGATAGCTGGAAAGGCAGTTTGTTATTCCGCTTGTTATTCCATTGTTTGTACAGAAAAGCGTTAAATATAATTCAGTTTTCACACTTGATCTTACGATGTCTACATGTTTGAGTGCGAAAGACATTTATTCAGCCTTTCACTTAGTTAGACTAGTGATGACCTTCTTCTACCAACCTCATTTTTCCATTGATATACAATAAAATACGGTTTGATCACTCTAAAGTTTCTTCGTCGTTGGCTCTGTTATTTTTTCAATAAATAAAGGATAAAGGATTCGGCTTCAATACCCTCTGCAGACTGCGCCAAACGCACCTACTTCAAAGTCGAAGAGGCAACAGAGGGAATTGTATGT